TTTTAACCAGAGCCAGAGTTCACTTTCACAAAGTGAACCCATATACTGTTCTTTATTGTTATTATTTTTTTTAAGATTCAGCATTTTAAGAAATGTCCTAACCTGTACATGTAGTTTGCTGACAGCAGTTGCTGCACTTGGATTGGTGGGAATTTTGTAACTTCTATCACCTTTAAGGGCTTGAATTTTCTCCGGTTCAAGGGCTTGAACTTTATGTTCAGTTATATTTATTCATATGTATTTAAAGGTTAAGAGAATTTTACTAACTGATACTGAGTGCAGCCTGCTCAGGGGTGAATGACAAGGGATGTAAAGAGCCAGACTTTCCAGGCTGGAGGCCTGCTCTGTTGTTTTTACGTCTTTTTTTTACAAGTAAAAAACAAATTTTATAGATTTATTTTACAAATAAAAAATGATGACTTGTTGTTTCAGAAGGAGCCTCACACAGCAAGTGGGTTATGTGACAAAATTAAGAAATTTGTCCAGATCTCAAGGCTAAAGGCCTGGAGTCCAGAACCAGCCAGGAGTCAATGTGGGAACATCTGGCTGCTCTGTCAGACACACGTGCAGTTCACTGGCAAAGCGAGTGTTTTGGGGAGCCCCCTGAGCTCCCCCCTTGCTCTTTTGCCCTTCAGACGCTGGGTTTCTCCTGCGGACCTGACGCTGCTCAGAGGCTCCTGCYGCCCAAACGCGCCGGCCGCGACTCGCGCTGCGCCGCTGAGGGGGCGAGGGGCGGCGCTTCCCTGGAAAACAAATGTTTTATATTTGCTTTATATTCGCTGCACACAATTTTATATTGTGTACAGTTCTGGGCTTCCCAGTATAAGAGGGACGTGGAGCTCCTAGAGAGGGTCCAGCGGAGAGAGAGAAAGATGGTTAAGGGACTGGAACATCTCTCGTRTTAGGAGAGACTAAGTGAGCTGGGCCTGTTTAGCCTGGAGAAGAGAAGGTTGAGAAGRGATCTGATTAACATGTATAAATATATGAAGGGATAATGTAGGGAGGAAGGGGCCAAGCTCTTCTCAGTGGTGGCCAGTGACAGGACAAGGGGCAATGGGTCCAAGTTGAAACCCAGGCAGTTCCATCCGCATGTGAGGAAGAACTTGTTTGGTGTGAGGGTGCCAGAGCCCTGGCMCAGGCTGCCCAGGGAGGCTGTGGAGKCTCCTTCTCTGGAGATCTTCCAAAGGCGCCTGGATGCCGCCCTGTGCCCCGTGCTCTGGGTGTCCCTGCTGGAGCAGGGAGCTGGACTGGATGAGCTCTAGAGGTCCCTTCCAGCCTCAGCCGTTCTGTGTTTCTGTGAATAGTGCTGGGATGCGGCGGCACCCGCGCACCTCGTCCRTGGGCAGGACCCTGCAGCCTGCGGGAGGGTCACAGTTTCAGTGTGTGACGCCTTAGAGCACAGGCAGGTTCAGACCTGTGCCCGGTGCCTGTGTCACAGGGGACACCTGGTAGGAGTGCGTCATACACATGACACAGAGCAGCCAGCGTGGGCTTCAGTTCGCTTTTTCCTGGTGCTGCCCTTGGTCTAAACCCCCTTTAAACCAGCCAAACCCAAGCAACATAAGGATGTTCAACGTATTTACTCTATTGTTTTTATTTTCTCCTAGGAGAGGGTGAAGAGCAACGTCTGTGAGTCACTGCCCTCGTTGGTGAGCAGCGTGCTGCGCAGTGCCAGTGTCCACCCAAGTTTAGCAACCTCGGAGCTGCTGTTTGGGGAAAGCAGAATTGCTGCTTGCTCTTTATTTACRAACTCTCCCTTCCTTGGGTTGAAGGCAGCAGCTTGGGGGCCTTGGCTGGTTGGCCTGGCAGCCAGAGCACTTTTAGTTGCTGGATACGGTCTTTAGGTTGTAGGATCCGGTAGGATTTTTCATCAGTTGGTGCAGAAGAACATGCTAAAATTCCTACAGAAAGGTGCAAACCCGGGAGTGACAAATTTCTCCTTTGCTTGTACACAATTTGCAGTTCTGAAATGCCGWTTTAGGACAGCGCTGCATGGATCAACTAGCCGAGCAGGGCCCGAGTGCGTTAYATAGGGTGTGAGGTTCCTTCATGAAAGGAAAGCCTAGATTTAGTGGCTTATTGTGATGCACAGGAAAAGAATATGTCATTTGAGAGTACTCTAAAAGCTTAATCCTCTGATGACGGTGATGACGGTGGCAAAACTGCTATAGGCCTGAGTGGAGGAATTATGGCTCTTGGTAAATTATACAGGGATGTATTTTCATTGCATTTGTGTATTTTTATGGGTTGTTCTTTCATGATTTAGGGAGATTTTCAGTTAGTAATAAGTGCATAATGTGACTAAACGCTTTATTGAATTTACTGAAAGTTAAAAGATGAAATAATGATAATGTTAAGTTTTATTTTGATGCTGAACCTGGAAAGTAAAGAAAGAGTGAGATTTTTTTTCTTTTTATTGAAGTTATTTTCTAGCTTCAGAGTAGCAGGGATCTTGGTTTACTTTTACTGAGTTCTTACGATACAAATATAGCTATGAAAGAAATAGCTTAGGCAGGAGATCCTACCATCCTGGTTCACTGTTTCCTTTCTCTGCAACTTTCCTACAGGGAAATCAGAGTGAAACTGTAGCTGTGGTGAAATTGCCATGTGGAGCAGCTGACATAACAGCAAAATAGGTCTGTTGTGGATACAGGGTTCTAGGTTTTTCATAGCTTTAAGCAGTAACATTTCAACAGCTGTTGAAATTTTGCTGTTGCTTTGGAAATTTTTTTGCTGAAAGAGTAAAAAATAGCATTTCAAAAATGCTGTTTCACTGTTAATGACAGTATGCAATTAACAATAAATTCAGTGAACGTGGCAACTTCATCAGTGCATAAACATACTAAGCCCAGAAGGGCCCTCCAGCCCCATTCAGCAGCTGGGTGGTACTGTGGCCATCCAGGTTAGTGCTGCTGCAAGGGAGACAGATTCCTTGAACTCCTTGGGGCTTCACTTGGGCCTCTAAAACATTCTGCATATAAGTTAACCTGTAAAACGTAATTACTTTAAATTTATTTCAATGCATTGTGGTATCTGTTTGCTTATTAAACAGTAAGTACTGTTTATTGCTGCACTGCTTAAATACCTGAAGACTTTTGAATAGAGATTTTGGTGGCTTTCTGCCTGTTTAAATGAGACTGTGCCATGACATGTGGAAAAACAGCCCTTCTGATTAGGGATCAGCACAGGAGAAATATCCCTTAGGATATTCAGTACTGCAACCCCTTGGATAATCTAAATAACAGGCCTGGTGAGAGAAATCAAAGACATTAATAACAAGTTTCTTCATTATCCTTGGTTTGTAATTTTATGGTGCATCTTTTTGCCAGTTGGAGGGTTTTCGATTGGCTTGGAGAGCTACTGCAGAAAAATCGTTGCCTTTAAATGATTTGTCCAGTTTCAGCTGTATTTGAGCACTCTGGGTTTGCAGCAGATCATTGACTGTGTAGAGTCCAAGTAGGAGTTAATGCATCTGGTGAGGGAAAGGTTTCTGAGCGAGTTCAACAGTTCCTTAAATTGCCTCTGCTAATGGATTCTTGCCGTCTTTTGTCCCCTATAATTAAGGGATGTGGTTGGAAGCAGGTGTGTGTGGGAGGGGGGCGCTGGGGTAGGGGAAACGAGATGGAATATTCCAGGATTATGGAGCTCACAGGGAGGGGAAGCCAGAGGTTGAGGGGCACTAGTATCCATGGGGAATTCTTCCTATCAGAATTGTCCCTGAGCAGTGGACGGGCTTTGAATGTACCTGTACCCTTGCAGTATATGTATGTATGAAGAGTTTACACTGCTTTCAGGCTATAGTTTGGTATAGTAAACTTTTTATTTTTGTTTTTGTTTTTATTTTTGTTTTTGTTTTTATTTTTGTTTTTGTTTTTATTTTTATTTCTGTTTTTAATTTGCTTGAAATGTCTTTACAAAGAAGATGCAAATCTTATTTTAAGCCTTATTTAAAGTGAAAAAGAAGTGTTAGCGACCTCCGTAGTGCCCTGAGTTAAATAAGTCTTTGTCGGGCTGTATGTTTTACCTGGTAGAAATATTCTTTTACAAGTTCTTAATTTCCTGATATCAGAAGAGATGTAATTGTGAAATAACCTCGTAAATGTTGGGTTGGGTCTCATTGGCATTTGTGTTTGAAAAATATGCATGTTATAAAGTGTCTGGCAAGGATTCTGTAAGTCTTGCCTAATATTTCCTTTCATTTTATAGACTATTCAGAGAGAATACAATTGTTTTGTCTTTCCATGAAAAGGTAAAAATGTACTGAAAGAGTGCTTAAAAAATCCAAATCTAGAGATTTCTGTTTATGGCCTTTTTCTTCATCCTTAGCCAAACTCTGTCTGACTGGTGACGAGGAACAAAATTCTTAAAGATGGTTTTCAAGAAAAGTTTTACATAGGTTATAAGGTACAATTGGATATTATCATAGCTTTAATGTGAAAAACTATTACTAATGCTACTATTTCAAAAAAACCCAGACCTATCATTACGCATTGCTTATCTTCTTGTGATTTAGCTCTAATTTACTGTTTTAGTCAGAATATTAATTTTGTAATTAATAGAATTCTAGAACTCTGTTTTGTTTCTCAAAAACATGTAATAATCTGTATGATTTTTTTTTTTCTTTAAGCAGATTTATTCCTCATCTTTGGAATACTGTTCTGTGGCAGTAACTGGGCGCTGATTCATTGTCCAAAAATGCAAAGAAAAAAAAAAAGAAGGAAGGGAAAGGAAGGGAAGGGAAGGGCTGCATGTCCTGCAGTCCTGCAGCTCTCCAGAGGCACAAGTTAGGAAACAGCAAAGCTCAGTCCCTCTGCCACTTAGGTTATATTAGGGAGGGTGGAGGAAAATTGTGCCTGATTGGCAGATTTTTGTTTACGTAGGGGAAAAAAGCCCCAAAATATTGCTGAAATATGAATGAGACAAGGCTAAACTATTCAGCAATGTCCAGACAGGCCTTCGTGTGGAAAGTGGCACTAAAGTTTTGTCTTTTTCTGTTAACAGCCTAAAATGCCCGTGTGAATTCGGTGGAATAAATGGCGTCCAAAGTGACTGATGCTATAGTCTGGTACCAGAAGAAGGTAAGTTCCCCCCTTGTTACTGCACTGCCTGTTGAACGGAGTCGGCGGAGGAAACGAGTGGCRTGATGAGGTTTAATGTTTAAAGTGTATATAAATGTATAAGTTATATACATTTATATAATGTATAAAGTGTATATAGCTATAAAGTACCACTGTGTTATTGGGTGGCATAGTATGGGAGTTAGGAGCTTCTGGCTTTTACTATGAAACAGGTAATCATTAGTGACTGTATGTTATGGAAATGAGTAGCTGCTGGTGTATTTTGAAAATTTTTCACCCCTCAGACTACCTGTGTTTTGGGGAGAATGAAAAGAACTTTATTAATGAAGTGTGGACTGATGTGCTCATGTGCAGGAGCGTGCTGGTTGTGTTGCACGTACCTGGTTGCCTGTGTTTCAGTGTTGTTCAAAACTGAGTGGAAGAAAATCAGCAGACAAAATAGAAATTCGAGAATTAAAATACTTCCTGTCAATACTTCCTGTCAATAGTTACATTATCTCTTGATACTGTATCTCTTGAGTGATATTTGTGTGTAGAAAAGTTGATGTCTCTTTAATAATTTACTATTTTGTCAGTTAAATGGTCATATTTTCTTCAAATGAGTATTYGAGTTTGCTTATTCAGTTTACTTTTAAAGTGATGAGCAACTTGCTAAATTTTGAAGTTTCTTGGCTTTACTGAAATATAAACAACTTTACCTTAAAGAGCACGTCCTGGGAATAGYGTTTTTCATTATCAGTGAAATATTCATGTTTCATTCTTGTTCTGCTGTTCTTTTCAGTGCTTTCACACCCACGTTTCTGCTTGTATTTTGCTTATACCCAAAGCAGTGTTTCTTTTCCAAGTTTCTGTGGCCTTTTACAGATTTACAGAGTGCAGAGCTAGAAACTMTGTGGTGCCTTCACAGCTAGGGCCTGTGGTGAGGGCCTCCCGCTGCTGCATGAAAGGCTGCTGTCTTTAGGGGAGATAAGATCCTGCTTGCAGCAGACAGCAACGTCTGAACATGATTTAGTCACAAATTGATTACCTGTGTCAAGAAATCATCATCAATTCACTCTGGAAACTTCCTGGATCGTTTGTGCCCTCCTGTACTTTCCAACCAGCAGATGCAGGGGTTTAAAGTCCCCACCTAAGGACCAGGGCCTGTGAACATCATCCTGATCATGAGGTCTACAGCAGACACCCGTTACGGTATCTCCCGCACTGGCGTTTCTGCTATAACCCGTAAGGTCTCAGCTGTCCCTTCACAAGTCCCAGCTGCAGCTCCAACAAAGCTGAACTCAGCAAACTGAAAATGGGCAGGACTGAAGAATTCCCATGTTCTGGCAGTACAGCCTTGTTTCTGGGGCAAATATGCACTGGTGTTTCTTGAGCCAGGACCAGCCTGAGAGGACTTGCCTCTCCTAAAATGGGGAGATAATTTATTTTGGGAGAGATATGCCAATGTGTGACGATGTATGATTGCCAAGCAAAGATCAGGGAGAACTGATGATAATATTTATAGTCCAACATAAAATCTATTTAAGTAGGTAGGGACTGAATGAGGATAGGAACAAATGTTGGAGCAGTATCATCTTGTATTATCGCTATTAAGGTTGGAAAAGACCTTCACGATCACAGAGTCCACCYGTAAGCCCCTCACCCCCATCCCTGCTGAGCCATGTCCCTAAGCTCCTCATCTACACGTTTCCTGAGCRCTGCCAGGGACGGTGACTCCAGCCCTGTTCCAGGGCTTCACCACTCTTCCTGTGTAGAAATTCTTCCTAACAACTAACCCCATCCTCTCCTGGACCAACTTGAGGCCGTTTCCTCTTGCCCTATCCGTAGTTATGGAAAAGAGGCCGACCCACCTCACTCCAACCTCCTTTGAGGCAGCTGTAGAGATCGATGAGGTCTCCCYGGAGCCTCCTCTTCTCCAGACTAAATCACCAGCTCCCCCGGCCTCCTCGTGAGGCYGGAGCTCCAGGCCCTTCCCCAGCTCCGCTGCCTTCTCTGGACACGCTCCAGCCCCTCCCCGTCCTCCTTAGAGCCGGGGGCCCAAACCTGAGCTCAGTGCTGGAGGAGCGRCCTCCCCAGCGCCGCGGGCAGGGGGACCATCACGTCCCTGCTCCTGCTGGCCACGCTGCTCCTCACACAGCCAGGAGGCCCTGGGCCTTCCTGCCCACCTGGGCTCGCTGCTGCCTCGTGCGCAGCCAGCACCCCCAAGTCCTTTCCTGCCGCTGCAGGGGCTCTGTGTATACTTATTTATTTGCACTTTGTTGCTCTCTGAGTTACAAAGGCCTTTTGGTGTCTCTAAGGAAAGGCATTTTTTATATTTCTTTAGTAGAAAGACTTGAGCAATGGAGTGAAGCAATGGAGCCCTTCCAGCCCTGCTTGCACGCCTCTACCTCCTTGGGGTTTGCACCAAGTCCTCGCATGACTCACACTATTGTTTGGAATTGAGCTCCTTGCACAAGGATGATTTAGTAACGTGCTTAATYGTTTGAAAGGTCAGACTTTTTATTATGTAAACTTGTTTTTTTTTTCTGTTGTTTTTGTAATAGGTTTGTTCTGTTTTTAGTGGGATGGAGCTCTTGTTTACTGTCTTATAGATAATTTTTCGTTATTTTAAGTTGGATTGTAGGATTTCAGATAGTGTTTTATAACCGATGATTTGAGAGGTGAGATGTCATGGGCGTAGCTGAACTGCCTGCAGGGCTGGCTTGTGCTTCTGTTCGGGGAGCAGGGAGATCCCCGGCGTTATCTGCACAGGGAAGCTCCATGTTCTCTCCTGAGAGCCCTTGGGTCCTGCTTGGACTAATCCCGGGCTGCTCTGTGGGCACCAGCGCCTGTCCTTGAGATCTCTCCTCACCCAGGCCAGACCTCCTGCCCGGGCCCTCAGCAGCCTCCGCTCCTGGCACCGACTGCCCTTGCCCAGAGCCTTGGCCCTGTCTCCGCTCCACGTTCGCTCGCTCCTGTTGCCAGTTGCTGCCACCTGGTCCTTACAGCACCTACACAGGGCAGAGCATGAGGCGACACAGAGAGATAATCACAAAAAGCTTTAAATAAAGACAGGGTAGATTGCAGTGATCAGGCTATGGTTTGATCAGACAAGTGTGCTGGCCCGTAGGAGCCTTGCCAGTGAAACCGAATATTTAACACAAGTTTGCTCTTAATACTGCAAGGGAGAATTGAGCTGTGCTTCCTTAGAAGTGCTTCTTCCCTTGGGAATGATTGCAGAAGAGGAAATGCAACCTGAATTCTGCACCTGATTGCATATCAGCTAGCTGTGCCAAAACAGCTTTACAGGGTTTTGGGTGTCTCTTGGGTAYTGCTGTTAAAAGGCCCTATAAAACTAATGAGATGTTTTCTCTCTCATTGTTTTAAAGGGCATAATGAAATTACAGTTCTAATTGCATTGTTTTAAGATCTGAAATACTCTGTGTTTTATAGCACATTAGCCTTGGATTAGACTTGCCAGGTTAACRAGGAAACACATGAAAATACATCCAGTTGTCTTAAAGCACCCAGCTTCTTTGTGGGCCCGGTGTCTGTGCGGTGCAGTGGTAATCCTGGCACCAGAACAGTTTGGAACGATGACCTGGGTTGTGTGGCTGCCTTGCTGAAGACTTTGGGTGCTGAAAGGTCAACCCTCGAGCTCTATAACACCGTAGCTGTCAGAGCCGACTTGGTCGGTGGTATTTTATATTTGGAATAGTTTCATTCCATGCAGTGGTGGAAATGGGYAGAGAAGAAATTGGGGAGCTAAACTGAGATTGTGACTCTGTGAAGAGTTTAACTCATGTATGAGATGTAGGGAGAGAAGAGTAGAAAATCCCTGTGTGGGTAGTGAGGATTTGTGAGTTGGTTCGTTATGACTGTGGGACAGTACCTGACAGTACCTGAGTATTTTCTTTTCTTCCCCCGAGGGCTCTGTTTTCTCTCTCAGCCACACRGGTGGATGTGCTGGCACAAGGGGAAGGCTAGGACATACCATGGGAAGTAGAAATGATCCAGGGGCCTAAGGGCAGTGCTGTTTTAATGCTGGTGGAGGTGCTGAATTTTCAGTAGGCTTCAGGGAATGATAATAATAAGGCTGCCAGAGTGCTCTTAATTTCCTAGTTGTTTCTTGAGGCAGCTTTTTGTGCAGATACAGGATTATGGAGTCTTTCACACCTGAAGCACGGCAGAGGTGTTGACAGTGGCGAGGCCGGCAGGCCAAGGAAGGCTCCTGGTCTCCTCCATCTCCTCCACACCTGGAGTGCAGTGCCCTGCTCTCCAGGGACACAATTGGGCAAGTCTTGCAGAAGGCCTTGGAGATGATCATGGGACTAACGCATTAATGCACAAAGAGTTTGAGATGGAGGTTTCTTCAGCCTTAAGAAGAGAAGGCGCCTGGGACGTCTTACTGCTCTCAGGTGTAGAGAGGACAGACTCATGCCGCTCCCAGATGGGCAGGGATAGGGCGGGAGGCCACAAATTGGAACATGGGGAAATTCTGGTTAGATGTCATGGAAAAAAATACTGTGAGGGGTGCCAAGYGTTGGGACAGGAACCCAGTGAGGTTGTGCAGTTCTGGGTCTTTGGAGACGCTCAGACCATGGCTGGGCAGGTCCCTGATGGGGCATGTTGAGAAGGGGAGGTGGCGCTGGGGACTGCAGAGGTTCTCTGTGTGATTCTGTCATAACTAACTTGAATTGAACTTGAAAACAGACAAGGRGTAAATGTTATTGTGACAAATCATCCCGTGAGCTTGTAGCAGAGGAAACAGAGTCTTGTTCCATTTGTGCTTTGTTTTTAGTTCTGCTCTGTTGTCCGTTTAAGCCAAAGAAATGGTATCTGAATTTGCCCAGTCATTAGAATAGGTCATTAGGAAATGGCTCAGGCTCTTGTTGGTTATTCCTTTATTCTTATACAGTATAGATTGTACCTTGTTTTTGACTGTTATATGTATAACTTTACATGTAATTTCATGATAAAAAGGATGACTTATGTTGTTAGCAGATATACTAAATCTGTAA